TGGAAAAATTTAAACATGGTTATTTTAACTTGTACATTTACAACTTTATAAAAAACTATCTAAAAAAAGTTCTTTTTAACTTCCGGAAAACTTTATTTCTTGTAACAACTTCAGAACTTGTATTCTGCATGATTTATTAAGCAAGGTTTCATTGGAATAATTTGAACATGACCATTACAACTTGTACATTTACAACTTTCTGGAAGATAGGGTCTAGAAAATACTCTCTGATTTTATATTGGTCCCAGACGTTCTCACCCCTCCTTTTCTTCGGTAAAGGGGTTCGTGATGAACTATGAAGATAGTTCAGCATCCTTCGCAAAGTCTATTCCTAATATGTCCATATCTTCCTGTACATGTGGCCATTTTGTATAACACATATTCTTGGCCAAGATCCTATATGTATGTCATCTATATCCTCATTGGTTAAAGGGTTGAAACTCCCCTCGACATATGCCTATATAATATCTTTGTATCTATGAATAGAGTTGAAGTATTGAGAATACAATTTAATGTGTGTTTTCTTGCTTCTCGGCAGTTATACACTTTGAGGGACTGAGAATTTTCCAGGTGGCAAAGAGAATCTATAGGGACCGATTGTTAATTACTCACAATAAGTATCTTAAAAAAAAAAAAAAAGTGAAGCTCCTGATAAACATTATTTGGCATAACTTGTATTGTTTGTATATGCATATCTGAAAACTCTAAAATACATTATTTCACAAAAAATAAATAAATAAATAAAATACAGAAAGTGCAGCTCCTCACTCCACTGTCCTTGCTCTCCCAACGGCCCTTTGAAAAGAGAACAATTAATCAACCACTGTGCCACTTTTTCACAGTTAAAACAGATAAGTCTTGTCTTTTTAAAGATTGTATTTCCATTTAAAAATCAAGAATATCTTAAGACTTACCTATCTTGCTCTCCACTACGTCAGGGGTTCCCAAACGTTTCCATACCACGACCCACCTAGACAAGTAGAATCTATTTCACGACCCACCAAAATATGAGATAAAAAACAACTTACATTACTTTAAGCCTAATCATAATTGAAAGTTTAATATGACAGAAATGAAGTATTTAAGAAAAATAACCATTTTATTTTAGAGTACAACTGTAAAATTTTAATGTTCAGCTAAATGGTCATGTTAGAACATACCACTTGTTTCTGGAAGGTAGGGTCTGCCAATTGCTGCTCCATTGCATCAACATCCGAGACCGTCTAATTACTTTCTGTAATTACTTTATGCTACAAGCTTTTGTAGAATTGTACAGTAAGAAAGTTATTTCCCTTAACCAGGAAATTAACGTTCTTAGAATTGACAAGACAGTTGACCCTGAGAGGTCACCTAAATATCTACAGCGGATCTAAAATATGAATAATTAATTATAACTAGTTATGGTTAATTATTCATATTTCCTCATGAGCTGATTCGTTACATGCTCTAACATCAAACATGTGCAAAGTAATGGAAAGAATGGTTATGTCACGAGTATTATTTTATTTGGAAACCAAAAATTTGTTACATCCATATCAGAGTGGATTTAGAAAGGGACGTAGTACACTAGATGCAGTTGTATGCTTGTAGAATGAAATAAGGAAAGCTCTAGTGAAAAAAGAAGCGGTAATAGTTTTTTTTACATTGAGAAGGCGTATGACATGGTGTGGAAGGAAGGGCTGTTAATTAAATTAGATCGAGGGGAGGTTATATAACTGGATTATGGATTTCTTGAAAGAACGAACAATACAAGTGAGAGTAGGTACTGAATACTTTTATTTATCAAATAGACAATGGAACCCCTCAAGGAAGTGTTTGTAGCCCCATACTTTTTAATATAATGATAAATTATATTTTTGGGGAAATTGAATTAGGAATAGGAAAAGCACTATATGCGGATGACGGAGCTTTGTGGAAAAAAGGGAAGAACCTGCAGTATGTAGGGCAAAAAATGCAGGAGGCTATAGATGTTGTTGAAAATTGGTCTAATCAATGGGGTTTTCATCTTTCAGTTGAAAAAACCCAGGTAATATGTTTTTCAAAGAAGAAGGAAATTCCTGAAGTTAAATTAAAGTTGTATAAACAAACAGAGCAAGTATCACTAATAAGGTATCTGGGAGTATGGATGGATTCCAAATGAACATTTGGGTCACATATTCAGAAGTTAGTTGATAAATGTAAGAAAGGAGTCAATGTGCTGTGTTTCTTGGCAGGAGTAGATTGGGTAGCTACTAGATGTTCTCTTAAAAGGGTATACAGTGCATTAATTAGGTCAGCAATTGATTATTGTAGAATAGTATCTGGCTCAGCATTAGCCTCATTATTAACTAGGATAGAGGTAATTCAAAACCAAGCCCTTAGAATATGTTGTGGAGCATTTAGATCCTTTCCTGGGACTGCTTTGCAGGTAGAAATGGGTGAAACACCACTAGACATTCATGAAATTCAGCTTAAAATGGTATATTGGACTGGTATTAAAGGTCATTTTACCAATCATCCAGTAAAAAAAATATTGGAAAGCTGCTGGGAATATGAGCAGACATATCTGAATAGTTTTGGCTGGACAGTAGGCAAGCAGGCTCAACAAATATGTATCAGTAATATCGATATTAGCCCACGGTGGCTCTGCCAGTATATCCACCTTGGTTTTTTTTCTATGCCAAAAGTTGATTTGCAGATATCTAATTTAATAAACGAAAACAAGAAATATGTTCCCAAAGACACAATAGTGCAGCAGCATTTAGATAGTCATTACTTTCAATTTACAAATTTATACAGATGGTTCTAAAGACCCAGAAACTGGGCGTACAAGTGCTGCCATGTATATTCCTCACTTTAAATATAAATCTGCAAAAAGAACTTCTAATAATATATCAGTATATGCCGCAGAGATGATCGCTATTCAGATAGCTTTACAGTGGGTGGAAGAAATCCAACCAACAACAGTGGTAATCTGTTCAGATTCATATTCTGCACTCACAAGTATACTGAGTGGAAAATCAGAATCTAGACAAGATATTTGATTAGAAGTACTGCAAAGTTTGTACCGAATACAGCAACTGAGAATTATAGTAGAATTTGTATGGGTGCCTGCTCATGTTGGAGTGGAAGGAAATGAATACAGTTAAAAGAGGAATTAAAATCTGACAGCATTAATTCTATGACATTACAGAATGTGTTAAACAGTTCTCATAAAGGTTATAAAGCTCTTATTAATTTTCTGAAAGTAACAAATTTATATAATAAAATATAGGTAGAAGATTTTTATTATTTTTTTGTTGTTGTTGTTGTTTTTTGAGAATTAGCATTTCCCTTGACGTCAGCGCCTCACACTCCATCCCAGTAGGTGGCGGAATATGCACCAAAAGCTGGTTTGCCAACCGCCATTAAACATCATAAGAAGAAGAAGAAGAACTCTCTCCAGTCTCTTCCTGTACACGTCGCTCTACGACCAATGTGACGTATGCGTTAGCCGGGCAGCCACAGGAATATAGCACTCAATTGAACCATGGAGACTCTCTTTAGCCTACCGTTTACTGTATTGGAATGTCCGAACATCAAACTTAAAAAACCGTCATGGCTACATATGCCTTCTGCAATGACCGTATATGCCGTCGTGATTGTTTCATATTTTCTCATTACCGGTGGTAAGAATTTTAAAGCAATCTCAGTAACTAGCATTCAGCTAACACTTATCCTCCTATTTTGTGTGTGTGTGTGTGTGTGTGTGTGTGTGTGTGTGTGTGTGTGTGTGTGTGTGTGTGTGTGTGTGTGTGTGTGTGTGTGTGTGTGTGTGTGTGTGTGTGTGTGTGTGTGTGTGTGCGCGCGCACGCGCGCACACGTGTACACACTAGCATATTTTATCTACTAGTAAAAATTTGCAGTAAAGTTTTTGTGTATTACAGTTCAATTTAATATGAAGACGCATGCTAAGTGTTTTGTTAAATAATCTTGCGAGTTAACGTTAACCTGTTTTCTCTGACAGTGCTGTTATCATTCATAAATCTCAAATTATATTGCTCACTGCTGACAGAATGACTTACTCTTTTGCTTCTGGCTACATATTACATTAGTTAGAATGAAACGAAATTTTATTATTATTTTTCTCATAAATAGTTGGTTAAATGCTTTTAAGTGCGACATTACGCTGTCTCTGGATGATTGAACCGTACTGTCGTCATAATCATTTTATCTCTTCAGGCATCATATATGATGTGATAGTTGAACCTCCAAGTGTCGGATCAATGACAGATGAACACGGGCATCAGAGGCCAGTGGCCTTTCTGGCGTACAGGTAAAGGGTTTATTACGGCTGGTCATCATAAAATCAACCAGCTGGTGGCGCTTTAGATGTACTTGAGGCACAATGACGGTGTTTGTAAAATAAACAACTGGGGCTACACAAGCACAATAATTAAAACAAAACTGAAACTGCGATATATCTTATAAAATTCTGTTTATTGAATCCAAGTATCGAAAGTGTAGCGTGAAAGTGTAGTGCTGAATGATTGTGTTCACTTTTAAAGGGTGAATGGGCAGTACATCATGGAGGGGTTGGCCTCCAGTTTTCTCTTCACCATGGGAGGTCTTGGATTCATAATTCTGGATCGCTCTAATGCACCAAACATTCCCAAGCTCAACCGTTTCCTCCTGCTCTTCATCGGCTTTGTCAGTGTGCTGCTGAGCTTTTTTATGGCCAGAGTCTTCATGAGAATGAAACTACCGTAAGTCACTAAACTTTACATTAACTTTTTGAACATTATTTATATGTTTATATTGTATTGCACTACCAAGGTTTGGACACACTACTCATTCTTCAATATTATAATAATAATAATTATTATTATTATTATTATTCTCAGTGTATTTCAGGGAGATAGCAGCATTGTTTTAGCACTTTCTTTAAAATATATTTCATCATATTGTGGTTTTAGACCACTATCTCTCTTGTCTTGTGTTTGATGAACTCTCTGTATTTCTAATGATGATCTGAATGTGTTTGTCTTGCAGTGGTTATCTTATGGGTTAAAGCTGCAACATTGCACATGCTACATGCAGAGATACAGAGAACATACAGAAAACTATGTTTCAGTGCCAAGGACTACAGTCTCATTGCAATTCTGACCAGTTATTTCCACTGGCGTGACTCTTTGATGTGCAGTTATTTTCTACAATAAACCAATACTATACACAACTTTGCAACATTTGAATTATTTGATTATTTAAAGCTGTACTTTGGTAAATTATATTAAGTTTATCAAAAATGACAAGCTTATTTACAGTGGAAGCATTATAGAATAGATTTAAAGTGTTGAATGTTATGTTTGCAGTGAAATGCATTTTACAAGTTAAAAAAAATTGTATCTTACAATAATAATGAGGGTTATTGTCACCTGTTTCTTTTTAAAACTTTAAAATACTAGGGAGCAGCACTGGATGGACTTAATTGAAATAGAGTTTTGCAGGGATGGCATATTTTTGTCAGGTAAACTCATCTACTCAGCGATGTGATTCTACCAGTGTAATCAGGAATTCCTAAAATAATGACCCACGTCACGTGAATCTTGCAGATCTGTACTAAGAAAAAGAAAAAAGTGGTTCTGCATGATGATTGAAATCGTGAAATCACATAAAAATCATATACTATCCTAATCATGTGATTATGAGCTTCTTCTTGTGTAGAAACGTTTCTCTGGGGGTGCGTCCGAAACCGCCTACTTTTCTACTATATAGTAGAAGAAAAGAGTATGTGAAGAAAGTAGTATGTCCGAAACGTCAGTATTCATAAAAGAGTAGGCGAGAAATCCCCGGATGTCCTACTGCTTCAGGCCAGGTTCTGAAGTGCTCATCGATGGATACTTTTCTATCCCAGAAGCCCACGGGAGAGGATACGTCATCATCGAACGTGATGGAGAACAGCGACGAGGGTGTTTACAAATGTGAGTATTAGAAATCAAAAACCTGGTTCCCTGTATTAAAATCACATACTGTAGAGTAAACTGTTCAATTGTTGAGGGTGTAAGACGCTAGACAGTATAGTATATCTGTGATTTTGCTGTAAAAACATGTTTTATTACGTATCGTGAACAGGGGAGCTACAGTAAGCACACGTACAACACCAAAGTGAATTTACATAAACCATATACATCTTAAAGACGATTAATAAATGTATTTTTAATATGTGACAGGAAAATGTTCTAAAAGAACTGCAGATGAGCACATCACAACATGAACAGACATCTGAGTGAGCTTTTCTATCCCAGAAGCCCACGGGAGAGGATACTTCATCATCGAACATGATGGAGAACAGCGACGAGGGTGTTTACAAATGTGAGTATTACATATCAAATACACGGTGCAGAGTGACTGATGAAGGAATGCTGCCATCAAAGGCTTTGAGAAAGTATACTACAGAAAATAATAAAACATCTTTTAAATCTTAAGTTGTAGTTTATTTTAATTACTGTAATTTTAAACAGTTATCACAGCACTTTTCTGATTCTTGATTTCTGTGCATTTGCTGTAGGGCTTTTGTGGTGGAGCAGGACCTGCAAGGCAATGTGACTTTTCATTTGTGAAAAAAAGGGAAAACCTGAAACAAAAATATAAAGTAAGATCATTCTGTTACTTCTAATACAGAAATCAAATGACATTGTGCTGTTAAAATGACTGCTTTTGTATTGTGTTTGTAAATTTTTGCAGGATCTGAAATGTCTGCAGACTGGTGTGAGCAGTGAGGATGGAGAAGTCCACAGCAGCATCCTGTAAATGGTCCAGTGCCATGGATGAGACACTCCCATCACTCCACCTGCCCTTACTCCCTCATCTTGGCAAGAGAGATGGGATAAAGGTAACAAAGGGCGACATTTGTATGATATAAATAAACAAGTAGGACATGTAAGAACTGCTTATGGTAATAGAAGGGATGATACAGTGATATCTCGATTGAGAATTGGACACTCTACTCCAGAGTCAGCCTAGAGCAGGGGTGCCCAAACTCGGTCCTGGAGGGCCAGTGTCCTGCAGAGTTTAGCTTCAACCCTAATCCCCTAATCA